CATGTAAAGTAAAAATATATTTTATTTTTCTTTTTACAATTTTTTTTAACATTTCTTAAAATATAATAAAAAAATTAAACAGAACATTCATAAAAAATTTGAAAGGAAACAAACTTAGTTTATAAGGTCATACATTTTATAAGTATTCGCGCAAATGATTTATTTTAGTTTCAATGCCCGGCTATATTATTTGTAAAAAATAATCTTCGGCCGGTAATAAAAATAGAAACAATTTTCGGAAAAATCAAGAAAAATTAGTTAAATTCCCTGACTTTTCGTAAAAATTAGTTAAATTCCCTGACTTTTCGTAAAATTCAGCAAATTCCCTGACTTTTCCCTGACTTTTTTACTAATATTTAATTTCCCTGACATTTCCAGGTTTTCCCTGTTTTCCAGGTGAGTGGGTACCCTGTATGTACTCACAGAACACAAGAGTGTTGTTGGCGTATCACAAAAAATATTAAAAACTTCTAATGCATATTTTTTCTTTATCATTGGGAAAATATTTTTCCGTTACACCTTATGTTAAAAGGTATTCAGTATTTTAATATATTACATTAATTACCTAACACCCTTTGGTACCATTGTAAAAAAACTAAATTAACTCGTGACTTTTTTAAAAAAGTCATTTGAATTAATTCGCGAATTAAATCACTGACTTAATTCATATAATTCGTGCCAACCCTGTTTTGAAATAACCCAACACGATTGGTCCAAATTATTCTCGCAATAAAACCGGTGATTTAGGTAATGAATATTCTGTAATACCTTATTACGTAGGTAATTCCACATTAAAAAGTAATTTTAGAACGGTCATATTTCATAAAAGAAGTATTAAAAAATATTTAAATCTTTATGTGGCTTAAATTGCTTTAAATATTATTAAATCGTATTAAATAATAACAGTTTATGTTCCCAGGTTTCAAGCCAGAGTGCGCTGGAAATTTCTTCTTTGTTTCTTTATTAATCCTCTTCCGTAGGTTTTAAGGCCTACTTTAAATTATCGCTATGTAATATTTCTTACTTAGAAGCACTTTAAACCCAACTTAAATATTATTTTCGTTATTAATTTCCAAAAAAAACACTAAACAAGTGTCCCGACAATGGCGCACAATACCATGCGATGGGGATGTTTTTGTATTAAATTATTGAGGAAAAAGTGAAAGAAATATATTTATATATTATAATATAATGAATTTTATTAACGCCATGGAAATTGTAAATTTATATTTTTGTACTATACTATAGTTTCATGATCTAAACACCTAATAGGTGTTTAGATCATGAAACTATGATGCAATCCGATTTTAGCCCTATCACTAAAGTGTCACAATGAAGCACTGACCGCGACCACGAAATTATTATTTATTATAGGTAAATAATATGAATTTATAATACTTACATAATATACTGAATATACATTTTATATAAATAATCTGATAATTTTAAAGATAAGATAATTTTTAAATTTAAACGATTTGACTGTTTTGATTAGATGGGATAAACCTGCGTATTATTTGTTTTTGTATTATTTTATCGATAAAAAGTACATAACTCGTGTACGAAAAGGATGTTAAATAAAAGATAGGGAAGATAAATGATTAAAATATAATACATTGCATATTTTCTTATAAAATAAAATAAAATAATAATAAAAAACGAAGTCTAAATTTTCTGTGGTGTATGGTGTAGACAATTGCGCGAGGGGTCAACCACTGTCGGCAATACGTGCACAAATTTTATGCAGTACAAAGGCAGTGACGGCACTACTTCGACAGTATCGGCAGTATGCAGCTGTAAATAGGCAATATAGGCAGTACTGGAGCAGTACTTCGGCAGTACATGGGCAGTATCGGCAGTAATTCGGTAATATTCAGCATTTAAGTCTCACCTAACGTACTCTCTTAAAATGAATTAGTCAAAAATAACAAATTATAAGTTATATTTGATAAATTGTCATAGCGAAAAAGCAGTCACTAATAATTAGTCAAATTCTACTGAATAAAATAGTCAAATTAGTAGATTTAAATTTAAAGTTTTGACCCAGCCGGGTATTGAACTCAGGTCTGTCACTTGTCAAGCTTGTCAAGTTATTGTCATAACCAATATGGCTATTAGCCGCTCTTATAAAAATTATATAATATTTTAAAGTTGAATATATTATTTGTGTTGCTGTTTTGAGCTAAACTGTTTGCATCTTTGTTTGATTTTATGGGCCATTTAACCATGGAGCCTATAGGTGTGCATTTTATTAAAATAATACTTTGTTGTTGGCCGCAAACGATTGAAGAAATTAGTTACTTTTAACTCTCAGAAATAGTCAAAGATGGTGACTAATCTTAAATTAGTCAAACTTTAACTATTTACGTAGTAAAAAATAACTATTTAAAAGTAAAAACGACTATTACATTAGTAAAAATGCTGGTACTATTTCAAATAGTAGAATTTTGGCTATTTAATTTTAAGAGAGGAAGTTCTTGTATCTTCCGATGCTCGTTCCGAGGTATCTCAGTTTTAATTTTGCAAACTTATTTGTGTGTTTGTACTTATTAGTTTAACTGTGTGTGGTTGTTTGGTAAGTATTGTAAACAATTAGAATATATAAAAACATTAAATATTTTAAGGTTTTAAAGTGTAAAAAAAAGGAACAATAAATTAAATTCTTTAAATTCGGATGTTTTTTTTGATAAACATACCTACATTCATAATTCACAAGTAAAGACATAATACCTATACATATATGTAAAACTATGGACAGTGTGTGGGCAATGTTGAAAGTAACTAGGCAGTAAGTAGGCAGTATAGGCAGTAAAGGCAATATAAGCAATATAAGCAGCATAGGCAGTAAGTAGGCAGTAAAGGCAGTAATTGGCAGTATAGGCAGTATAGGCAAATACGTGTACAAATATCTGGCTAGTGGTTGACCCGCAATTGCGTAATAAATTATTATTGCAATCAAGGTCAACTTTATTATTATTTTACACGTTTATTTCAGATTTTTTAATCGACAAACCAGACCTTAAGTAATATTTTTAGTTTTAAGAGATCTCTAAAAACAATAGAGAAGTGAGTAATGGAAATGCCTACCAAACTTGATTAATTCCAGGTAATTGCTATTAGTCATTTTAAGTGCAATATAATCTACAGTTATAATAAACATTTGCTGGTCAATAGGTTTATTAAAATGTATGAAAATACAATGGATCAATACGAGTTTGTTACCACACGATCTTCTAGTTTGTAATAAACATTTAAAACACTCCTTTGTATTGTCTTTTACCACTCCTTACATAAAAGCTTGTACATACAAGGTTTTAATAAATCTTTTATTTTAAATATGTGGTGTTAGGTGCATATTGTTATTTATTATTATTATGTTTTAGCAGGAAAATGTATTTTATTTTTAAACTGCTGAAATGTGCTTTGCTTTAGATACTTACTCATTAAAGCCCTTCTCACCTTCAAAATTTTACATATACCTATACATTAATGTATAGGTTTGCTAAACCGAAACAATACCTTACATGAGTCATTCCTTGAAAAGTTAAATTAATCATATCTACATGCACATATAGTTATAAATCTTTGATACATGTAAAATGTTTCATATATATTTGATTAAATAAATGTAGGTAAGTAATATTATTAATAAAAAAACTTAAACATGTCCAATCTTATATCTTATATCTTAAGGAAAATAGTTTTATAAACGTACCAGGTGTGTCGACTCGGATCCGAGGTAGGTAGGTACCTACTTGAACTATAACCCTTGCATTACTCTACAGAATAATAATTACAAATTTAAAAATAATGAGACAACACGTCACAGAAATATAAAATTCTAATTATGTATTTAATAACATGACTTAAATTAGCGACAAATACATTAAATGACTATAACACTTTATTGATACCTAGCTCTGTTACCTATATTAGTACATATGGCCATAGATTAATAACCTCTACAAATAGCCTATGGCTATTAAGTTAGCATAATATACCTAATATTTTACTTTTAACAATTTTTGCTAAGAATATACCTACCTATATGTACCCAATTTACAGAAGCACCGTCGATTTTCAATATTAGTCTTTAAAAATACCTTTTTTTCTAGTCTAATGCCATTGCCATTTTCCTGTATAGTAAGCAGAAAATATTAGGTTTTGAAATAAATTGAGATTTTATTTTAATGTTAAACACCAGGCTACACAAATCTGAAAAACTCATAAAAATCTATTTAGAAACATTGATTATGAGCAATTAATAAATGAAATAATTTCCATGTAGCACGTTATTTTTGTTGCTGTTTATTTTAAAATTGCTTGGCAAGAAGATAAAAACAAACATCAAAATAAATTCGCACGATTAAAATTACAATTGGGCTTACCTAATTTTTATCCTTGTTCATAGCGCCTATCTTTCCCAACAATAAAACTTTAGGTATGTAATTACACCTTGTCTTGGACCGAATTTTAGCACAGTACGTATACAAACACCACAACAAAATAATCTCATTTATAACCAACAATTTTTCGCACTTTTAATCATAGTTTTTCTAAAAAATATTCACTAGGTTCCCAAAACGTCAAAATTCATTATTGTTTTAATATAACCTGAAGTTGGCCACGATTAGATAAACCAAGCAGTGGGCACCGTTGCCATATTTGTTTCACGGTCACGTTGATTTTCCTAGAAGAGTATATATCTATAGATATGACAGAAATAATAGTATTATTTCCGATATATGATAATGACCTGTTAACGAATTTTTTTATATTTTTACCTTTACTAAAAATATTAAAGGAATTTACCATTTTTGCAGCAGAACAGTCAAAGAACCAAAACAATAGTTCTATTGAAAAAACGAACACTTGGCAACAGTGGCGGTGGGGTCAAACAAAGGTCACACAGGTTAACCAACGCATAGATAAAATACGATATTTGTTATATGAATACGATATAGAAATAAAAACACCAAATATACCTATATGAATTTTATTTAATTTCTACATTGTGAGCTAATATCACTGAGCTTATCTATCAATTCATTTCCAAAGGAATGTTTATATTCATCACTTATTGATAATAATAAACTATATGGAGTCTCATAATATTGGGTTGTTTCTATATTATCATTATCAAAACATTCTCCAACTATTTTGAATCCTAAACTGGACAACTCTACACAAAAGTCTTTGTTTTCCAAGGTTTTAATATTTAAATAAATTTGCTGATTTGAACTGGGTTTTTCTGTCGATATAGATATTGAACTAACATGTTGTTTGATATCATTGATCACATGTTGTGCTTCTACTTTCCAATTTTCTTTATCCAGCACATTCTCTTTTAACATTTTAAAACGTTTTTTAGTTAAAACGTTATATTTAAAATTTAACCTCACAAAAACTTACAGAATACATTTTTACAAACGAAACACCATATAAATATTACCATAGATAGAACCTACAGGTTTCATGAATATAACAATGGTATGTTATGTGCACATATAATATGTGGTTATGTGATAACCATAGAAAAAGGATATGATATGATAACTAAACTACGAAACAACCTATATAGGTTACATAGGTGGCAGCACAATCCACACAACATGTTATGTGTGATGCCAACTCGTGGGAAATTTCCCTTTTTAAGGGAAATTTTACCTCAAATTGAGACAAATGGGAAAAAGAGAAATACATATTTTAAAAAAGGCCTTTCATGAGGAAAATTTATATTAATTCATAATAAAAATTTAAAATTAACCGTTTCCTACTTTTTCTAATGGTAATAATTCGGATTTTTTAAATTTTATGACTTTTTTTTGTGTTTCATTTAAAAAATATAAACTCTATAACTTTTGATGTAAAACAACCTTATTTGGAATTACATAGGTAATAATAGTTATTTATGTCATTAGGTTAAGCTCAAAGTTTGAAGGCCGACGCGTAGCGGAGGCCTACAATTAAGCGAAGCACAAAAAGACACTTCTTGGCCGAATGGCATACAACATTTTATCTTCAAAGCACTTTATATAGGTCAATTTAATTCAACATGAAAGCGCCCTAACCTCACTTTTTTTAATCTCATTTATTTATTAGCTAAAGATTACATTAAATGTACAATAATTATTATTCCTTTTAGAAGCAGTAATAGTTTGACAATACCTAACTACATGATTTAAGTAGAAATGGATTTTTGTAAGAAAATGGTTTACTTACCCTCTTGCTATTACATTGAATTCAATTAATTGTTTAATAAATAGGTATCTAATTTCAATTTGTTTGCATTTTTATTAAAAAAATAGGTAGTTTGGAACATTTAATTTTACTGAAAACTTAAAGCAAATTAAAATTTAAAGATAATTTAAATCGTAGAAAAAGAAAACACAACTGAGGAGCGTTTATTCAAAAAGGGACATGTCCATTTAAGCGATTTTCAGAAATAAGTCAAAATCAAAAGAATTCTGTTATTTTTGACTTGTTTCTGCAAATCGCTAAAATGGACATGTCCCTTTTTGAATAAACGCTCCTCAACTGTGAAACGTCAAATTGCAATGTCCTAACCTCACTTTTTGTCTTATTATTCATATTTAATTTTACAATAATTTAATGAAAAATATTAAACATTAAAATGTTATAACAGTAAAACAAACAAATTAGTGCTTATTATAAATAAATTAAACCAGTTTAGTACGTTAATTTCTTAGAAAAGGATTAATTTGTCAAAACAATACCCCTAGCGAGAAAAAATCGAACTAATTACTTGCCTCATAAAAATTTTTATCGGCCTAGGCCATAACAAGGTATTTCTTTATCGAATGTTGACAACAATAAAGTTTAAATTATAGACCGCGTGGAGATAAAAATATTTATTCTTTTAAAGATTAAAATAATAGGCAGTATATTTATAAAAGAAAGGAAAGTACCTATACTTGAAAAATATGAAGAAAATCCTTCAGCTTTTATATACATATAATCATTAATACAAGCTGAAGAATTTCCTTCATATTTTGCAAATATAGGTAAGCATATCATTTTTTATCAATATGGCAAGATGTTTTATATTTTTATTTTCCATGTATTTCTGTATTAATTAATATCTACACGATATTTTGTATAATAAAAACTGTTACTTAATTTCTAAAATGGTATCTTTTTTTTAAATAATTTCTTATATTTTAAACACGACTAACGGCATATTTAAAAAAGCGTGGGAAAAAAGGGAATTTTTGAACATTTTCAAGGAAAATTTGCTGCAAAAGGGTTGGCAACACTGGTTGTGGGTGGCAGCACAAAACAAATACATATTTGTATATAACTTCATACTAATGCATTATTGATTTATTCTTTTATTAAAAAAAACCTTTATTATTTTTAATTTTATTAAAATATTGTACATTTTTTAAAACCATCACCATTAACGATTTAATTAGATTAATATTTTAAATTGTGGTATAATTATGTGGCGCCATCTATTTTATAATTCCATTAGTCATGTAAACTTTCTTTTGCGTAAAAATATAAACAAACTTTAGTCAGCTGGCTGAGGGTGATGTGAGGTTATATGATATAATTTGGTATGTGAAAGTTTATTTAATTTTAATTACTTATATATTGATTTTATATGCAGCGTATAATTGTTTGTCTTACAGTATGGTTAAATAGATTTTGAAAAATAAGATGTCTCAAGTATTTAGTAAAATTCCTGCAAGTGCTCCAATAACATCTTCTTGTATGAATTATGTTCATCCATGGACCGATAGCTGTTTGCAAGCCATTTGTGGACTTTATTTGTATTGTATTTTTGACTGCCTAAGGATATATGGATCTGTTTATGTGGTTTGTATAATTCTTAATTTCAAACAAAATAATATTTTAAGTTGTTTTTTATTTGGTATCTAGGTACGTAATCTATGTAGGTACCTAATGTAGTAGAACAATTAAATTTATTTAAATTTATTTATTTTTAAATTTTAGAATAAAAGGCAATAATTCAACTAGTTCATTCACCCTATTGTGACAAAATTGGTTAATGATTAGTTATATTATTTATGTGGCATAGCAAATAATGTTTTAAATTTAAACTTTGGCATAATAACCTTGAGTTGGGTCATTATTGTAAATATAAACATACATTTAAATATTTTTAACTTTAATTGGTCTATAACATAAACTTGTGGGCACTTAAAATCATTTAGAGAAATTGGCCTAAGCCATAAAAATTCAATATTTACCACTTAAAAAAAAATGACTTGACTGCTTTATGGCCTAAGCCCTAAAAATTTAATATTTACTATTTACTATTATAATTGAATTGGAGAGATTAAGAACATGTCTAAAAATTTTATTTTGACAAATCATTTTCAAAAAGCAATTGAAAAGTTTAAAATGCATTTTTGTGTGGACATATAAATTATTTTACAAAATTTAGTAATTACATTTTATTTGAAATATTTTTTAACTTTTGGACTGTTTTTAATCTCACTGATTCAATTCTACTTATGTTTTATGTATTGTTTAACAAAAAAATTGTGCCTTTGGCCAAGAAGTGTCTTTATGTGTTTTGCTTAAACTTTGACCTCAGCACAAAAAGACTAACTTCTTGGCCTAATGACCTAAATAACTATTATATAGGGTGCACTAAGTATCCCTCTATGTGTATACTTTTATTGGTATTTTTGTTATTTAAAAAACTACAAGGCTGGTTAAATTATAGAAAAGTTGTGTAATTACAAGCCTGATTTATAAATTGGAAATTATAATAATTAATTAAACTATATATATACTAGGGTGATTCGTTTCCGCAATGTTTTTGTTTTTTTTCGGTGCTCAAGCAAAATATTAATCTGCATATAGGAAAAAACATTGCATGCTTAAAATTAATATTAAGAGCTCAAACTTGGTGAGAATGTTTTTTCCTATATGCAGATTAATATTTTGCTTGAGCACCGAAAAAAAAAACAAAAACTTTGCGGAAATGAATCACCCTACCTAGTATATATATAATTATTATAATTTCCAATTTATAAATCACAGTGCACTTACTATTTAAATTTAAAGTTTTACCGTTTAAAATGCATGTATAAAATATATATATTTTTTCAAATTTCTAATGCTTACCCACCTTTGACAATATTGCAAATCGGTTTAATACACCTTATGGGGAATTTCACGCTCTTTAAAATTGATTTTAAGTTTTTTTTTGTAACTCGCATTGGTTCACCAGTAGGAGTCGTCAGACAGTTTTTGAAAAAAATCGTTTTTTTTATTTTTTCGAGCAAATCGCCAAAAGTAGTGAGAAAAAAGGGCTGATTCATAAAAAATAAGTTATCCAACCAATATTTAATGAATTTACTGCCATTTTTATATCTGAAAACGTAAGAAATTGATAAATAACAACCCATAATCCCGGACAACAATCGGGATTTCCTGGTGAAGTCATGATGATATCACAACGTGAGTTTTTTTATCACGCCGTGATATCCTGAGTGCATACACATGCTTCATCACAGTGATATCATGTAGAACTCACGGTGTGATATTTGCAAAATTTGCGCATGCGTAATAGCCCTGCGAACTGCGAATTTAAAACCTACTTTGTTACCTGGTGATTCAACATAACTTTTCTCTTATAAGAGAAAAGTTATGTTGAATCACCAGTGTACGAACGTGGCGCAAAAATGATTATTAAAACACCGTTGGCATAAAAAATCACATGATTTTTTATGCCATCAGTGCACCGACATCTTTGGATATTTATTTTTGCGCCACATTCGTACATTGAAAGAAAAAGTATGTTAACAATTGAATTAACAGTTTTTGCGGTTAAATACATTTAATATTTTCTTGAATGTAAATTAACTTAAATCCAAAAAAATATTGAATATTTTTATTTAACCACGAAAACTGTTGATTCAATATACAGGGTGTCCCAGAACTCGCGCCACATAGAAAGACGGAACGTGCCGAAAGTAACGTGAAACACATATTTGAAAATTAAAATGGGGTAGTTAAATTTTTTCTGACCTATACTTTTTATGGTTTTATTCAAGGCGTTTTGTAATTTTAAACATTTCTGTGAAATCGGAATTTCAATTGAGTTTACCGTTTTCGAGATATTTACAAAAAAAAATCTCCTAATTACGTCACTAGGCTATTGACAACGTTGCCAGCTTAATCTATGGTTGCCAGTGTGTTTAGTTTAAGATTCTTACGATAGATGGCGCCACGTTATAATATTTTAGTTTTAAAACCACTTGATCTATAATTTTAGTTAAGAAGAAGAAAAAGAATTGATTTTTTGACGTTTCTCTTTTTCGGGTTATGTTTTTTTTGAATTAAGATTATTGAA